TCAAAATGTCTTATCAATTTTAAACATAATTTCATGGCAAAAAGAAATTTTAAGTATTAGTTTTTTATTTTTGACCTCCTGCTTTACTTATATCAAGCAAAATATCTAGATTTTTAAATAAAATTAAACAGGTAAAAACTAACATTTAAGGCAAGGTTTGTGAAAATCCAAAAAAATTGAAATTTTTTAATGTCTATTTTTAATGTCTTATTTTTAATGTCTATTTTTTTTTTAATATAGAAAATAATTTAATAATTAAATTTAATATTAAAATATATTAAATAAAATGTAATGTAAAATATTACATTTTATGTCATCATTTAACATAAATTGATTATTAATTTAACTTTATTTATTGAATTAAATAATTAATTTAAAATAAATTAATCTATCTTTTCTCGGCATTTGTATAAATGAATTAAAATATGTTTATACTTTTTTTTCATTATTATTTAAAATTGACTAAGCAAATAATGATTTTTTATGTTATTTTTTAAAATCGACTTTGCAAATAACAATTTTTTACTTTTAAAAAGTTGTTAAGAAATAAAAAATAATACTTGTTACAAAGAAAAAAAACTCAAGTTAATTACTTTACCAGAGCTTTTTTATGACAAAGAATTGAGTCTCCAAGTACTATTTATTAAAAAATATATACTGTTGTACTTTCACAAGGCAAAAAAGTTCAACGTATTATATTTAATTGATATTTATTTTATATATATATATATATATATATATATATATATATATATATATATATATATATATATATATATATATATATATATATATATATATATATAAATATATATATATATACATGTTATAACATGGAATTTACAAGTTATAACAGAATTTAATTTTTTCTAAAAAATAGAAAAAGATAAAAAAAACCTAAGAAATTTTTTTTTTAAATTTTATGGAAATTTCTGTTTTCACTTTTTTGATATTGTACAAGGGGCAAATTAAGTGATCGCCAATTGAAAATTCCGTAAAAAATTCTGGTCTTGAAATTTTTAGATTCTTGTAAAACTGTTACGAATGGTCCAAAAAAAACACGCAAAAATGGTTTTCAAGAAATACAAAATTTCAAGACCAGAAACTTTTACGGAATTTTTAATTCGCGATCATTTAATTTGCCCCTTGTTGTACAATCTGTTAATTACATAAAGCTCTTGTAACTATAAAAATATTACTTTTCTAAACTATTTATTTTCGCACAATAAAACTTATAAATATAAAGGAAGATATTGCAAGAGCTATTATTAGAGGTATTATTGCTTCAAGCGTAAATTCAAGCAAAAATATTAATAATAGAAATATATCGATAAAAGAATTTTTTTTTTCAATTATTAAAAAATAAGCCTTTCAGAGGTGTACACTCGTGGTTGCCTGATGGTACCAGATAACCAAATTTTGTGTAGGGCGACTAAAAATATTCCTTTTATCCAATTAAGTCACTTAAACCAAAAAAAATTGAATTTTATAGACAGGTCTAGTTTGTTTTTAATTCAGGAATTCTATAAAAAGAAGAAAAAGTAACTAATAAAACTATATTCTTTAAGTCAAAGTTTGTTTTCTGCATTTTTTAATTAGAAAATTATAAAATTGGTCAAGCATTTAAAATGTATTTAATAAAATACTTCCTAAATAAAAACTAAAATGTTTTGTTAATTAAACAAAAATACTATTTTATTTTTATTTTTTCACAAATTTTATCTAAGGATTTAGAGTTAATGTAATAAATTTGCCACAAGAAAAATACAGGTCTTGTTAAGAAGCGTTACACAGCTCGTTTTTTTTTTCGTAAATGTAAAAAACGTTCAGTTAATCAAAAAACTTTTCTTATTTGACTATTTAAATTATCTTTTAATGTTGTTTATGTGTTGTTAAAAAAAGCATTTAACTGCATATGAGAATTTTTTAAAGAAAAATATTGTTTTATATAAAAAATTTAATTTTAAAAGATTTTCAATTAAAAATGATTTTAAAAATTAAAATTTAAAGTAATAAAACTTTGAATGTAAAATTTAGTTTTAAATATTACATTCAAAGTTTTATTATTTTAAATTTTATATTATTTATATATTTATTTTTATATTTGTCAATACTTTGTTATACAGTTTTGATGTGATACTTGACAATAAACTGTCTTTGAAAACACAGATAAATAAGATTGTGAAAAGTTGTTACAATATAATCAGCAAAATATCCAAAATAAAACAATTCTTATCGCATAAAGATTTGTGCACCATAGTATGTTCATTAATTTTTTCACAGCTAGATTATTGCAACTCCCTCTACTTTGGAATTGAGAAGTCACTATTAAAAAAACTGCAGTCTGTTTAAAGTTGTGCAGCAAGACTGGTATTTAAAACCAAAATAGAAAACCAAATAAATGACCAGGTATTCATCAATTTGCATTGGCTTAAAATTAGAGAAAGAATTTATTTCAAGGTTTTATTAATAATGCACAAATCTATTATCCATGAAGCGCCAGCATCATTGTGTAATTTGATTCACTTCTCAACGTCAGAGAGAACTCTGAAATTAAAAGAAACAAAATCCAGCAATCATTTTGCTGATCAGGCGGTATCCCATTATGGCCCTAGACTTGAATGTTTTTCCAAGTATCATTCGAGATGAAAAAACACAACTATTTATAAGAAAAAACTAAATCATATTTAATGGTGAAAAGCGAACTATTCCACCAGAAAACTCTAGAATATTAAAAATTATAAAGTAATATAATAATTTATTGCACAGCTGAGTTGTGTTAATAAAGTGTTTTGCCAGCTTACCCTTTATTTGGACAAAACACAGTAGCTGTGGGTAAACCCATGTATTTATTTATTTATATATATCAATGATTTTCTCTATTCAGGTAAAAAGCCTAATGACGTATATATTGGCATGTGCTTTGAATGTAGAAAAGTGAATGTCTGAAAGTAGAAAAGTGAATGTTTTCAATAGTTTACAATATTACTTTTATTGACACAAATTATTTCTAGTCTACACTTACCCCAATAATAAAAAATGAATAGAATATGCAAGAAATCTGCTGAATATAAAAATTTTTATAAAAAATTGCAATGAACTTAAGTCTGAGTGTACACCCCTGTTCTTTGTATAAGATGTCACTTAAAGTTTGTAATAATGTTTTTTCATTTTTTTTTTTTGATAAAATCAATCGTTATAACAAAACAAACAAACAAAAAATACAATATCAAAAGTAGCGCTAATATTTAATAAACTTTAATGTGTGCTATTTTTTTTTTAATTTTTTTTTTTAATTCCCTAATTATTTTAGTTTTTATTTGTTATTAGAAATTGTTTAAATAAATATTCTTGTTTATGCAAGATGATAAATACTTTTTTTTATGTTATGTTTTTATGTTTCTTTTATGATTTCTTTTTTTAAGCATTGTATAACAGCTTTTTTTTTTTTTCTTTTTCTTTTTATTTTTTATATTTTTGATAGAAAAGTTAAAATAATAAAAATTTTTCTTTGTTTTTCTAAACTTATTACTTTTTTATGCAAACTTTTTTACGTAATTGTCTTTCAAACTTCTTAAGTGGTTTTTATAACTTCTTTTATTTTACCGCTTAAGTAATATCTTGTTTTAGTATTAAAAAATGATTAAAAATGGCTCAGCCAAAATGGCTTACTGCTTACCTTAAATGGTAAGTAAATTGGCATATAACATGTATTTTTATTAATTTTTAAGTATTTGTATTACCTGGATTAACATCTGTTTTATACAAGTAATATATAAAACATAATTTTTCTTCTGAGTTATATATATTTTTTTGAGTCTTAATGAACTTATTTAAGTATTTTTGTTGCAGTAAATTTGTTATATATATATACATATATGTGTGTGTGTGTGTGTGTGTGTGTGTGTGTGTGTGTATTTATACAGCCCGTAGAATTTTTGGAAAAATAATCTTTGCTTTCACTGCAAAATCGCTAATAAAACTTTTGATGGTTGAAATAAATTAAGTATTTTTTTATTATTATTATTATTTGTAATTTTTTTTTAATAAAAAATCATTTTTTGTTGCAAAGCCGCATTTAGAAACTTATTAAATAATAAATTTTTAAATCTTAAAATTTTAATTCATTTATACAAAAATCATTAAATGAATGAAATTTGTTTATATTAAATATTTTCAAAATATAATATTGAATTTAATTATTTAATATAAAAAAGATTGAATGAAAACATTCCCTAATAGTAATAATAAAAAACAAGTTAAATAGTATTTAACTTGTTTTTTATAATTACTATTGGGGAAATAACTTTATTTAATCTTATATTGTTGAGTTAGGTGAGCAGTTGACGTCATGCTGAAATAGTCTGTTGCCGGGGGCTTCAGTGCATACTTCGACTGACAAATAGCCTGACTCGCAGTGGAGTGCTGCTACATAGCCTAAGGGTTTTGGGATGGGGCAGCAACCTTTCATTCATTATACTTCATTTTCTTTTTTTTTTAAATCCAATTTCATTTATATATATATATATATATATATATATATATATATATATATATATATATATATATATATATATATATATATATATATATATATTTATATATATATATATATATATATATATATACATATATATATATATATAATTTCACATTAAATATGCTATATATATTAAAATTTATATATATATATATATATATATATATATATATATATATATATATATATATATATATATATAAATTTTAATATATATAGCATATTTATATGTGAAATTATATATATATATATATATATATATATATATATATATATATATATATATATATATATATATATATATATATATATATATATATATATATATATATATATATATATATATATATAATTTCACATATAAATATGCTATATATATATAATTTCACATATAAATATGCTATATATATTAAAATTTATATATATGTATATATATATATATATATAATTTCATTTAAAGTTTCAAAGCCTGCACCTTCATGGCATGGAAAAGCTGTTGTAAATGGAGAATTTAAAGATATTAAGTTGTCTGATTATAAAGGTTAGTTGTCTTTTCGTTGTTATAAATATTAGTTACATGCACACAAATACTGAAAATTATTATTATAAATTAGTTATTAAATGGCATTATTATTTAGAAACTGAAAAAAATTTTAATTGTATAATTTTGATATTTTTTAACTTGTTAAATAAAAAATCATAGCAACCTGAATAAAAATTTTATAAAAATTAGAGATATAAATCATTTAACACAACCATATTTAACTTGTTGCTTGAGTAATTATCTAAGCAATATCATTTTGAGTGTGACCACATAATCATAGGACTGACTTTTAGCTAAGAATTCTGAGGTAATACGGAAATAAGGAGCTGTGAAAGCTCAGTACACTAATCAACTGACTATCTAGAGAGTACTTATAGGAGAGTACCACTACATCAATTGAAGGATTGTATATAATATGTGTATATACATATATCTGTGGCCATTGGTCAATTTATGATTCGCAAAATTGTTCATTTTGAGATAAGTATGCAGTTTTGTTGTATTTCGTTAGATCTTTCATTTGGTCAAACTAAGATTGCTGTATTTAAAAAAAAAAATATTTTTATGGAAAATAATTTATTATTTTATATATAAAATCTCATATTTGCACTTATCATAAATTGACTAATGACCACACACACACACACACACACACACACACACACACACACACACACACACACACACATACACACACACACACAGATTATTTGTATTAAATCAAATTAAAAACGTTTTTGTTGTTTGAAATTTCCGCAATCAAGCATGTTAATTCAACTCCAAAAAGGAAACAAATTTATTTGGTCATCTTTTAGTAAATGGTATTTCATTGTTTTTATTTATTATCAAAGCTGCAGTATCATTTTTTCCGGTAGATAGACAAATGCATTAACTAAAAAACCAGACAAAAAATTCAAACAAAGAGTCATCCACCCTTTTGTATGAACTGGTACATTTTTGAGTGATCCCCTCCCCATACTTGCGTATGCAATTTATGGACGCCAATCAATTGCCAATTGCCAATACAATTTCCAACTCTGAATCGAAGACTTGATGCCGAGCGTGTATAATCGTGCTCATTGAAAATGTATTTTAATATTACAAGTGTGAAATATCGCACTGGGCGATTTTATTTATCACATGTACTGATATATATATATATACATATATATATATATATATATATATATATATATATATATATATATATATATATATATATATATATATATATATATATATATATATATATATATATATATATATCAGTCTTCTCTGTTTAGCCAGCACTTTTGCACTCATGTCTTTTTGCACTTGCCCGCACGCTTGAAAAACTGGCGAGCGCAATAAATAGAGCTTGCCAAAAAAATAAAAGCGTTTTGTTTTAAATTGCAACAAAAGAAACCTTTTGTTCATTTGTTCAATTTTATGAAAAATGCTTTTTTTTATATGTATATATATATATATATATATATATATATGTATATATATATATATATATATATATATATACATACACACACATACACACACACACACACACACACACACACACACACACACACACACCCATTGGGTGTTAGCCAGTGTTATCCAAAACTAAAAATGACATAACCCTCCTTACCGAATTCTTTAATGCTTGTGGAGTGTCTATGGTTATTAATTCAGTTTGAAGACTAAATTCAAAAGTAGCTTTTAATAAATTCGGGGCAGGCCTGCTACTCTTCCTAAGCGTAGCAAGCCTGCCCCGAATTTATTAAAAGCTACCTTCGACAGTGAAGATGAACAAAATGAGGTACTTGAATCGTGCTATCGCCACTCAGTCAATGAGTTTAAAGGTGTTTTCTTTCGCGAAGACCTAACCCCGACACAACAAATGGAATTCAAAGAGCAACGCAAAACATTAAAAATACATAACAACAAACTTAATGAAACAGGCCTCCTCGATAATCCTTTTCGTTATGTCGTTCACCGCCGCACTAAACAAATTTGCTGTATCAACTTTGAAGAATCATCAAACGAGAAACGTTACATATTTGCATCACCAAAAGGAAAAACCATGCATAAAAAGTTATCGAATGATTGACCACTACAATCTTCTCCCATCATGAAAACCACTGTCAGAACGTTAAATTGTGCATATTTTAATGCAAGATCTCTGAACAATAAGCTAGAAAACATACACAACCTTCTCCAATATGGCAACCATGATATCATCCTCATCACAGAGACTTGGCTAAACACCTCTACTCGAGACTTGTTGTTGTTAAATGGAAACGGCTACAAAGTTTTTCGACATGACCGTGACGGTAAAGGTGGTGGCTCACTTATATTGGTGCACAATAATATTCATTATATCTGTGTCGACGTAAGTGCTCCTTCAAACCACATCAAGATAAGATTTTTGTGTATTTACCACCCACCTTGTGCTTCTTCTAACATTGTTAAAACCAAATCCATGTGCAAGTTGATTTCCAATTTTCTGTTAACGTGTGATTCTGCATGTATAATAACCGGTGATTTTAATTTACCACATATAGCCTGGTCAATTCCTATCAGTTTTGGTGATGCGTGCCATGATTTTTTCGTAGAAATTTGTTTTGTAAATGCTCTTACCCAACTCGTAACTGACAATACTCAACTTAATAATTTGTCAGACCTCATCTTAACAAATAATAAAAAAATTGTTTACAATGTGGAAACAGCTGCTCCATTCGCCAGCACTTGCGACCATTCCACCATACTATTTAATTGTAATTTGATGAATTCCAAACGTTGTGAACTATCTAGTATTAACAATTTCTATAAAGCTGACTATATTTTGATTAATAATGACTTATTTAACGTAAACTGGTATATGTTGGCCAAACAAAACCCAGACGTTGAATCATTCTGGCAAGCTATTTGTAAAGTCCTGAGTGTATCTATTGCTTCTCACGTTCTTTCATTATCAGGCTTGGTCGGGAAGCGGGAGCAATCGCTCTCGAATACTGACCACGGAAATTATATTTAGTTGCGAAAAACTGGCCAGGTTTTTTAGTCGTTTTGAGACTAAAAAACCTGTTTTACGGACATACATGAAAACATAATAAACTTGAATGTTCCCAAAACATCTTTCTGCGAAAGAATAAAAAGAATATTCGCGAACACTAAAAACCCGCCAAATTACTGAAGAAACTAATTCTATTGGTTCAAAAAATACGCTGACAGCAAGATAACGTTCTAGAGTATTCTGTTGAAATGTTTTAAAAAATGTTTTAGAAACGATTTGTTACATTTTGAGATTTCTAGCATAAATTGGTTTAAGAATAAATATATTATTTGTTTACAAAAATAAAAGTTTTAAATATATATTAAATTGTCAAAATGATAAAAGTTTATTATAAATTATAGATTTTATTAGTATATTCTTATTTTTTATTTAAAAAGTATGTATTCTTTATGTAAATTTAATTTTGTTTATCTGTTTTTTATCGTAATGTATCTTTTAAAGCAATTTTTACGATTTAAACAAAGACTTACAAAAATAATTGCGTTTTCAATGAAGTTATAATCGTTATAGTTAATAAAACTTATTACGTAACAAACATATAAGAAGTTTCTAGTTACTAAACACAAACAACCCGTACAAAGTAACTCGCAGATGAACAAACACCGCGCCTAAGGTCACGACAGAACACAAATATATATAGCAAATAATTAGATATAAAGAAAAGTTACTAGATATTGGTTTACCAACTCTAATTATTTATGCTTAAGTTGCCATTCTAAAAACTTGTTATACTTTTTTCTGCTTTAAATACTAATTAAAATTAAAAAGCCCACTTACTAAACATCACCAGCGATATTGTGAAGCAAATTCGCTTCCTCGTCATAAAGTATTGTTAACCTTAAGTTGATTTCTATATTGTTGATTTAATTTCTATGATTTAATTATTTCATTTGTTTATCTTACTAAGAAGAATTGCTTCAAATATGTTAAACTTTTCAAACTATGCGAAACATAAAATAGGTATTGAAAAAATTAACTGTTTTATTTATAAAATAATTTAGCTAAAATAAAACTAAACTTGCAAACTTTGTTAAATAAAGAATATTTGTTTCCTTTTTAAACAATCGTAAGTTGTTACTTTATATAAAAAACATCGCTTAATTTTATAAAAAAAATTATAAAAGAGCGATGTTTTGAAAATATTTGTTTTAAACGTAATTTATTTAGCTTTAAGTTTTTTTGCGTTTAAAGATATTTTATTTACTTTTTTTTTTTTTTTTTTTTAATTGTTTCTCATCGGTCCCATTAATCTTGAGCGCTTTTTTTTTTTTGATTTTTAAAATGTTCTCAAAACGACTAAAAAATCTGTCCAGCTTTTCGCAACTAAATATTATTTACGTGGTCAGCAATCGAGAGCGATCGCTCCCGCTTCCCGACCAAGCCTGCATTATGCAATAAAAAAAAGCTCGTTCAATCTCTTGCTATTCGTAAATTAGCGTCCAAAAAATGTACTCTGTACAGACTTTATAAAAGAACTCATAACCTTTCTGTTCTTATCAACTACAAGAATTGTTCACGTTTATATGATGCTGAAATCACAAAAAACTGTATTGCTCGAGAAAAATGCATAGTAGACTACTCCAATTTAACCCAATTTTATTCTTACGTCAATTCAAAATTTAACTGTTTAAATTCTGTTGCGCCACTTGTAAGATCCGACGGTTCCCTTTGTACTGATGACTGTGAAAAATCGAGCCTTCTGAACAATTTTTTTGCTTCAGTGTTTGTCTCTGACAACGGTACTAAACCTGTGCTAGACCTACCATCCCACGATAATTCTTTGAATAATGTCCTATTTTCTTATGATTCTGTTCTATCAGCTCTTCAAAAACTTCCACCAAAGTCATCAAAATCACCAGATGGGTGTCCTGCCTTATTCCTGAAATCGATTGCTAATATTATTGCCATCCCGTTCTCTCTTCTTTTCGAGTTGTTAATGTTAACG